TAAATTCTTTCCGTGTAAATCATGGGGGGCAACAACTTATATTTATGCAAAAAGATGGTACTACCTATGTTGCCTTCTTTCAGCTATCTAATGCTGAAAGTTTTGTAAATTCTTTAAAAGGATTTATTAAATTTGTAAAGTCTCGTACAAATAGAAATTTGTACATTGTAGTAGATGAAGTACAATCAGTACTAACTAAATCATTTGCTGAATTAGATTTATTTCAAGAAAATACTTCAGATTATGTTTGGAAATTTGTAAAAAATTTACATAACCGTCCATATGAAACAACATTAGAAGCTTTTAGTAAACTGGCAGATATTTGGTGTAAGTACAGATAAATCTTGGAATAACAATTTATAAAGTTTTTACTACATTCTAAATTCTTTTCTAAATTATAGTATACAAAGATCCAGTTAAACGTCCAGTTGAAGAAGCAGTTGCAGATATATTGAATAATTCTTTTACAATTGATATTCCTCCTCCTCCAGTATCTGTAGGTTCAGGAGAGGAATATGAAGTGATTGGGGAATATGAGTTAAGCGTAGTATTACCTCCTAGACCACCTTGTCCAAGGGGTATGTTGAAAATAGAATTGTATTAAATTATATTATTAAAAATATATAAATATAATGATTATATTAGGTACTCCACTGTCACAAGAACAATGGAACAAATATAAAGATCCAGAAGGAAAAATTTTAAATCCTCAAGAAGTAAAAGAAGTTATTTTTCATGGGGTTAGTATATTAATCTAAATATCTAAATAAATATATCTATTTTTTGATTTAGAATATCACTAATTATTTGCAAATATAATGAACAAATCAAATAAATTAAAAAATTTTTTAGGGTATTGTACCATCATTACGCTTTGAAGTATGGAAGTTTTTATTAAATTATTATCCATGGAATTCTACACATATTGAGAGATTAGAACTTAAAAAAAAGAAGACTGATGAATATTTTATGATGAAGTTGCAATGGAGATCTATGACATCAGTACAAGAAAATAATTTTTCCGATTATCGAGATCGAAAAAGTTTGATAGGTAATATAAAAATATTTTAAGAATTTCTAAAAAAATCTGTAATACAAAAATATATATATTTTAGAAAAGGATGTGAATAGAACAGATAGAACACATCCATATTATTCAGGTGATAACAATCCTCATTTAGCACAATTATATGATATTCTTATGACATATGTAATGTACAATTTTGATTTGGGATACGTTCAAGGTATGAGCGATCTTTTGAGTCCTATTTTATGTTTAATGGAAAGTGAAGTTGATGCGTTTTGGTGCTTTGTTGGTTTCATGGACAAAGTGGTATGTTTATATTATAAAATTTGTAAGTTATAATACTTATAAAAATATTGAATTAATCACGTATTATTATCATACAAAATAGAGTTCCAATTTTGAAATAGACCAAGCTGGAATGAAAGCCCAATTGTGCCAATTATATACTCTTTTGAGTGCCACAGATCCACAATTAGCACATTACTTGAATAAACATGATTCAGGAAACATGTTCTTTTGCTTCCGTTGGCTTTTAGTATTATTTAAAAGAGAGTTTAATGCAGTTGACATAATGAAATTATGGGAGATATTGTGGACTGATTTACCATGTAAAAATTTCCATTTACTTTTTTGTGCAGCTATTTTGGATACAGAACGAAATGTGCTTATGGAAAATCGTTATGGATTAACAGAAATATTAAAGGTAACATAAAATTTTAAAATCAAGAAATAAATTTTTTCCTTAAATAATATATAGTATGCGTTGTAGCATATAAACGATCTTTCACATCATATTGAATTACCTTGGACATTATCTAAAGCTGAAGGTATTTATTATCAACTAATTTCGGTTGCGGACCAGTTATCTGATAACGTTCGCATAATAATTGGGCTTGAACCTATGAATAAAACATCACCAATTAGTGATATAGAGAATGGTGAAGCTTCTGGTCATAACATTGAAACTGATGAAGCTACTAATAATTCAAGAAGAAGTAGTACAGAAAGTGGCAATATTAAGTTTGGAAATGATGAAGTGACGTTTGAACGTGGGTTAAATTTATCGTATATGTGAGAACAAGATCGTTCATTCATCATAATCTAATGAACGTTGTATAACAACGTGTTGTTTACAGTCAATTTTGTAAAATTTATTATTCTTAAGTAACAATATTTATAGTCATATTCTTCAAAACGAATGTATATGCATCATTTGAATCTATATGACACTGACTATTTGATTTTCATCAAAGTTTATTTTATGCAAAAAACTTAGCATTTTGTTTGTTTAACAAACGAATCATTTTCATCAAAATGTGATATTATAATTCAAATTTTGATTATGAAATTTTCTTATGTACATGTTAAACATTATCTCGAATTTATAAAGTTATAGAGGAAATTGTTGTTAGTAGCGTTGAATTTTGAGATATTTATAAAATTCACTATAAGTGAAGAGATTGTCGGTCGTGTGAATATTTAGTAAATAAGAGGTAGTTTCGTATTATATGTTCTTTATCTAAATAATGCTTTCAATGCACATGAATTGGAAATAGTGAATGGAAACAATTTACAGTGTATTTCAAATATAACTATAAATGTTTGTGTTATTTTCACTTAAGTTCAAATGTTTTTCTTAAATCTGTAAAAAATTTCACGATAGTACTGTATATTTCTAATAAAAATCATCTAAACAATAAATAAATTGATATTTATAATTTTCTTACGTTTTTTAATATTTGAAAGTAACTTAATACTAATGTAAATACATGTATATATTTATATGTAAATATATATCTAATATTGTTATCAATAAGTTCAACAATGATACAGTTCGAAAATTGACCGTCTTTTGAATATATAAATTTATAGAATAAATTATAAAACAAAAAAGCAAATAGGAAAAAGATAAGGATAGAAATAAATTAAAAATTATAGAACGCCATCTTTAGAATATTGTAGATGAAACTAATAAAAATAGTATAATAAATAAAGAAATGATAATAAGAAATGATCATTAGCGTCATCTTTTGAGTACCAGAAGAATATTTTTTTAATTTAAAAAATGGCATTATGTTCAATTTTTATTTTATTTTATTAAGAAAGATGCTTTTGAAACTAAAAAGATGGCACTGACAGTAAATTCTTGCTCTTTCGATTTTTTTCACATTTTTATTTTTTATTTTTTCTACATGTATTTTATTTATGGTATTCTGAAGATAATGAAAAAAAAATTATAAATTATGATCATTGTGTTCATTGTTTTTCTCTTCTGAGACATATTATAATGTCGATATTAATATTAACTGAAATTTGACGAAGATATATATTACCGATTACTAGAAATCAATTTTTTCAACATATAATCAAAAATTTATCAAATTTTTAAATTTTTATTATTAATTTGTATCTAACAATTTTTTATAATATTAAATATAATTAAAATAAAATTAATTAAAATTTTTATATTTTATAATATTAATTTTCGACATATAATTGTATTAAAATATTCTAATTGCTAATTTTATGTGGAAATTACAAAATAATCATAAATGGACTTAATAATTCAATAATTTATCAACTTTTAGATTTTTATTGTTACTTAATGCATCTATAATTTATTATAATATTAAATGTAATAAATAATATATATTTTTTAAACTTAAATTGTTGTTTTATATTATTAATTTTCGATTTATAATTGTATTAAAATATTTTTATTGCTATTTTAATGCGAAATAAAAATTTATTACAATAATAAATGTAATAATTAATACATTTTTAAATTAAAATTATTAGTTCTATAGTATTAGTTTTCGATTTTTAACCATGTTAAGATATTTTTAAATATTTTTATTTTTTTAATAATGATTGTAGAATAATTTAAATTGATATTATGATCAATCAAAAATAATTATGATATAAAATAAATTTATACTTAAAAAAGATAAAGAGAAAAAAAAATATTGAATTTTTATTTTACTTTTAATAATATTTTATAACAATTTATGTATATCTTCCTAATTCAATTTAAAACTCGTTAAAAAAAAAAAAAACTCATTAAAACGTTAATAATTATGATAATTGAATTTTAAATATATAATTATAATTATAAATATATTTTAAATATATAATTATATCGGGCATAAATCGAAGAAAAATATATTTTTAATTTACAATAATTAAATACACTGTAAATTTAAACTAAATTAAACTAAAATTATATAAATTAAACGAATCTTTGCAGTTGTGAATATTCTCACAATATCTTACAAATAATTGGGTCATCAAATTGGTAAAAAAATAATGATATACAAGAAAAATGATAAATTCGTTTAAAATATAAAATATAAGTAAAAAATAAAATATAGAATATATTATGAATAAAAAATAATTTTTAATATCTTAACTGCTTAAAAAAAATCTGTTAGAAAAATATTAAAACCACTTAATTTTTATAAAAATATTATTAATTAAGTTATTTTATCATATCAATTTTTAAAGTATTCGAATATTTTTGTGAATAACTATTGTTTCTAAATTCACTACTCTAAACATACTGTTTAAATAATATTCTGTTTTTTGCACGATCGGTAATTTATTTCGTGTAAAATCTTATAAGATGATATATCTATTCTATATCTTGTCTGTGGAATATATATATAATCAGTTATGCCACCTACGCGAACGCACACCGCATGCATAGATAACGTAACCTTATTTCTCGATCGTGATATGTCAAAAAAATATCTACATGACATATCGATATAATCGAGTACGCAATTACATATATGTAAAGATTTATCTATAAAAAAAGAGTTTTGTCTTCTTGGTTTTTATAGAACTTTTGATTCTATATGACATACGGAATCAAATGATATGAACGGAGTATTCGATTATTATTTCGTATGTATATATGTTGCCACGACTTTCATTTCTTTATTCGAACGATTTTTGTAAACTTTTTTTTCAGTTACGATATTTTAAGAAATTATTATAAATATATGTAAACGATATTATTGTATTTGAGAATAAAAGGCAAAATGATTTTGGCTATTTTTGGTCCATCAATCATTGGACATCTATTTTTAATGTTTAAATGTTATGCAAACACATCATATATTTAAAAATATCTATGTAATACAACAATATAAAAATGTAATGCAAAAACAAGATTTTAAAAAAAAAAAGATGAGAGAGAAAAGGTAAGATAAAAGTAAAAATATAAAGAAGAGAAAGCAAAAAAAAAACAATTGAAAAAAATAATATAATATTTCTCCAGTTTACTAAAAATATAAAATTACAAAATATAAAGAAGAAAGTTAGTTGATTCTCTCACAATGTGACTTGCTTGGAAGGTAATTGTTATACTTTATAACATTGATATTTCACTTTCTATAAGTTTTAAAATATTTTTAAAGTATTTTTTAGGAACTAATATATGCCATAACATGATACAACCTTTTCTTGAGGAAGGTGCCTGGTGTTACTGGGTTGTGTCTGTTGGAGCGTTATTGTGCTTCCTTGGTCTCATTGTTGCTTGTATTTGTAGCTGTCGTCGCAACGAAAATAAGTAATTGATCATACATTTATAATCATTATTTTTTAAAAAAACATTATTTATATATATATTATAATGATAGAATTATAGTTCATATTGGAATTAACAATATGGTATATTGTATAATTATGAGAACATGTTCGGTTATAATTCCTTTAAATAGGAATGAATTTCTTGGCCTTGCTGGAATGGTAACTCTAAATGATTCTCAAGACGGCTTTAACAGGATTTCGATGACAAATACTCTTCACATAGCAACACAAGATATTATTGACAGTGGAAAAAGGTTTTTGCTATATATAAATATACGTATTGTATTACATAATCTATATATAATATAATCTTTGGAAATTTTCATATTTGATGAATGATTGTCTGTCTTGAAATTAAAAAATTTTTGTGTAATGTACATAGGTCAACTGGTGCCAATAGAAGTCTTCCAGATATTCCAAAAGATAAAGAAAAAAGACATGAAAATACAGATGCATCTATATCTCAAGATATTTATGAAATTACTGAAACGATCGGTGATCATTCGGAACTCTATGCCACTGTTCAGGACACAGGTATTTTTGATAATAAATTAATTTTTATTTTTCATCTATCAAATTTTAAATATTTATCATTTTTTAAATATTTTAAATTTTTTAAATTATTTTATTAAATATATGTTTTATCTTTCTTTTAATAATAATATTATATGTAATTCAATAGGAAAAGAACAAGTATCTGAATTGAATGTGCCAGAAATTTTACATCAAAATCCATTAAATCAAAAAAATTCTGATAATGAGTATTTAAGATTTCCATCATCTCCTAATTCGGAAAATGGTATGAATGCAAAAATAATTTTAATTGTTTAATGTTATTTATTTATTTTTTTTCGTTATATATTTATCTTTTTTTCATAATATTTAATATTTAGTTAAATCATATTTATAATAATTGTTTATATTTATTCCAGTTGAACATCCGTATGCTCAACTTCAAAATGTTCAAAAAACTGAAGCTAATCAATTGAATCGGTAATAATTATACTCATACATATAGTAATAATAAAAATTCTTTATACATATATTTTTTTTATTTTTCTAATAAAAATAAATAATTAATATTAAATATTGTAGAAATAACATCAAACAAGTTATTGATGTTGAGAAACCATCAACATCAACATGTCAAAATAATGGAAATCCAGTTGCTCCCCCAAGAACTCGTCGCTCTTCATCGCATAATTCACTTATATCTACCGAAACTGGCCCGTGTGATATTCAAGCAGCTAATGCCATATCTGGTGGAGTACAAGCTAATCAAGATTTACCTTATATGACACCACCGTTATTGATGTTGCTTCCTCAACCACCGCAATCTCAGTCAAATAATATACAACAGCATTTTAGTGGAGATTCTCAAGATTCTAGTAAATATTTTGTTCTCTCATATCAAATCAATTCTTGGTAATATCTCATTAATTTACATTAATTGAAGTCAAAATTAATATATTTTGTTTTCTTTTTCATTTTATACAGAAGGATACACAAGCATCAGCGTAAGAGAACCTCTAGCTAATATAATTGCACAAACAAAAACAATTTGTCGACAGAGTCAATCCATTCGATCATCTATAGATCCCCATTACGCAACAGTGTCGGATGACTCTGGTATATGCATATATTCATGGATTTGTAATATGGATATAATAATAATTAATTTCTAGGCAACGTACTTGTATATTATTTCTTGCATTTTTCTTGCTTTTTTTTTATCATCGATGAATATCATTTCATTTGACAGATGAGATGTATGCTGCGATCGATGAACAAGATAAAGTATATACTAGTGGTAGCGAAACATATGCTCAAATACAACCGACGATGACAGAGGTCCAACGAATACAAAATGAGCAAACATTATTCTCTCGAGTTCCGTCTCGTTCTGATGAAACATTCCCTGCTCCGCAACCTCCAAGTGTCGACAGTTTACGGCATGTTGCACATGCTCATTCGAGACAAGGTAAATAATTAGTAATTATTGCCAATTATATATTCATATTTATTTTTATTTTTTTATTTGAAACTACCCTGGCTGCAGCTTCATCCTCAAGTGCCAATAGTTCTATCGTAAATCCTGGATCACCGAAGCCTGAGAAACGTCAAGCTAATTCTCCATTACCACCTCCACCAGAAGGAACGATAGAAGTATATGCATCGATTGATAAGAGGACAAAAAATGAGGATCGATTGAAATCGACTTTGTCTAGTGGAAAATCTCTAGAGGATATGTATGCTAAAGTAATGAAGAAAAAGAAAGATGTTGAAGAACAACAAAATGACGCACATTCGAGTTCTCAAGGAATTCTACATTCCGAAATATTTGTTCGGAAACCAAGCTTTGTTGAAAATAATAGGATTTCATCGTCTAGTCATGATTCCATGGAAATACAAAAAAAGGAATGCGATTCTGTCGATAATGGCAACCTAGATGGGGATATTTTAGTAAAATCATCTTCTTCGCTGTTTAAAAATGGTGATAATGCGGATTCATCAAATTTCCAACTTGGTTATAATTATGAACCTATGAATGATTTGCAAACTAGACATTCAACAATTCGCGAATCCTGTGATCCGAATTACGAAATGTTATGTCCGCAAGAAAGAGTCTCTGTTGACACTATACCAGATTATCAGCAAAATGATAGTTCCGTATCAATTTCTCTACGAAATAATACTGATTTGCCAACCACTTCTATTTCTCCTTCTTCTTCTGTTTCTTCTTCTTATTCCAAACCGTTCAAACATCGACAAATTAGTAATGCTAGCAGCGAAGATCCCGGATATGAGAAAGTAAGATTAAGAAACAGATGTGAAATAGATCCAGACACAGATTCAGAACCTAATTATGAAAGTATGCCACATGATACAGGAGAACCAAATTATGCATCAGTTTGTCGACCCGGTGATAGCGATACGGATCCTAATTACGAGTCTGTTAATCATGAAGATCCTAATTACGAAAGCGTGAAATATATGAGTGTTACTCGTACGGAAGAACCGCCATATGAGCAAGTGAACGCGTATAAAGTCGAACAGAATTCTAGTGGATATGAGAAAGTAAAAAAACATATATTGTGTAACACTGATTATGAACAGATTCATCAGAATCATTCGACTGATTCGATTAATGGGGATACCGATGACGAGCAATATGTGCAAGTCTAGTCTCTTATTTTTCGTTTTATTTCTTTTTTGTGTTTTCTTTTTTATATTCTTTATGTTCTTATGTTTTTCTTATATGTTCACAATATTCTTTTTTCCTACTTCATGTTTTATGTTAATATGTTTCGTTATATTTTCCAACATGTATCATACGCATTTCTTTTTTTGACTTTGGCAATTTTTTTTTCTTTCATATCCAACATTCGTAAAATTAATTGTTTAAGCCCGATGTACACAAGCGAAATAACATCATCCCAACTATAAAGATGCCAAATTATCATTACAAATCCGCAACGGTACCGTGTCACCGCTCGTATGCCTCTAACCTTAACATAATTACATTAACTACATCACATGGAGGAAAAACACGAGTTCATCGAACTTCGTTCATAGTATTTATTAGATGTGCAATAATGATACGCATTATTTACTTTTAATTATATATATATTAATAAACAAATGAATTAAATATTTAAAAAAAATTATAATAATCAAGTGAATAATGCATTTCATTTTCGCTTTAGTTCAAATTGAAAACGAAACGGAAAAAGAAAGTGAGAGTTCGTTACTTCATTGTTTCTCAACTTACAGAAACAAACTTATTTATTTATAAGATTATTTTCTTCTTCGTTATCTCCTTTTCCTTTTTCTCGAATGACAATTTTAATAATTTGTAAATTATTGGAATATGTATTCTGTATATAATTTTGTGCATTGTAGACATAAAGTGTTTTCTTTTTTTGAACACATTTTGTTTAAGATATATCTCGCATAAATCAATAACGATGATGATAATATAAATTACATATGTGTTATACACATGTACGCTTTTGAGCATAGCACAACTTGCTTACGGCGCTAATTTACAAGAGGTAAACAATGTCGTAATTAAACGCATTCATATTAAATGCAACGATTTGTATTCTTTTATATGTATTTTTCACGAAGTCGAATGTCTTTCGGTAAAATAAAAGATATTTAAAAAAAAAAAGAAAAAAACAAGGAATATTTTTTTGGAATTGTGTCGAAGAAGTGAATTCAATCAACATAGCCCAAATTATATATATCATAAATATCATACACAGATTACATCGTGTAATTTTTTATTCATAATTTCTATTTATCGGAGATGTAATATTTCAATATATCTCGCTTATCAATTTTCTTCATTTATTATAAACATATACTTAATTATATCTTTCTTTTTTTTTCATTTTTTTCTTATAATTATTATATTATTTTCGAGTTATCATAAACAAAAATTCCTACTTGTTTTCTTTTAAGAATTATATATTTGAATATAAAAAAACGATCAAATGAATAGCGTGCAAAACAAAAACTTACCAGTTGACACAATTGTTCGATAATTTCGTTTCACCAAATATGCGTGTCATCATGTTCATTTTTGATCAGTATAAAATTGTATAATGTAATTATCATAATAAATGGCAGCATTTATCGATTTCATATACATTTTATACGCATTGTGTTTTCTTAATAATTTTTTCGTTTCATACATTACATACGATAGAATACATTCATATCATGATATATTGAATCCATATTTAAATAAATTTCATGATAGATCGAAAATATTTAAAAAATATTGAAAATTAGATTAAAACATAAATAAAAATTAAACAGATAATGAATTACGAAAAGGGAAAATAAAAATAAGGACATGTTTCTTACATATGTACATATATATATATAGTAATTTTATGAAACCACATATAATCATTGCATCAAGGAATAAAATATAATTATATTACTTTGTAAAATCAAATTGTTATTTCAAGCTATGTGTAATATCACTTAATTTTTAAATCTAAAAAATGAAGATAATAATTAATAAATTAAAGTAAAAAAATAATTCACTTACTAAGAGATCATGTTCATATATGTGTAAGCGTGTAAATATGTAATGCCGTATGTATACAACTACATAAATAGATTAATGCACGAATGCATTATGCAAGAGAAGAATACAAATGGTAATATAATCTTCTACTTAATCAAAAATTTCAACCAGATATACGAATATAGTGCTGTGTATTTTTACATAATCTCTGATTATTTCCATCACGTCGAATTTGTTAAAAATTATACAAAATAAAACAAGAAAAAACAAATGTCGATTCGTATAATTCGTAGCGATATTAAATCTAATTAAGTCGACATAAAAATGTTCTTTTTTTTTTAATTTTATCTGCAACAAAATTAATTAAGAACCACACATATTTTTCATTCAAGTTATTGCCAATGCACAGATTATAGCCTAATTTTTATTTGTCACATTTTTTTAATCAATCCTTTGGATTTCTTTACAATCATAAATATAAATATCTCTATAACTATGATAAAAACATCCATACGTATATAATCTTTTAGATATTTAATAATGTTCATATATTTGCATATATTTTTAGATTAAAAATTTAAAAACAATAAAATATAACAATAAATATATAACAAAATAACAATAAATATTTAACTGTTTAAGATTATTTAACAGTCTACGAAAAAATAAATAGTACATACATAAAAAATACATAAATAGTTTTTATCGTATTCGATAAAACTCGGCAATAAATAAATAATTTCGTCTCGTTGGAATGCAATCGAGCATATTATTAAAAAATTTTTTCATATTAACCATGAAAGCGCTTCAATGGATTTCTTTGTAGAATGAAATGACCGACTAATGATAATTGCGATAATATCGATCGAGATAGAAAATGAGACATTTCGCTGAACATGAATAACGCAACACGTGACATTAAATAAGATGGCACGATGTCACACACTATTGACACTGCTAGCTTCTTCGACATCGCTCTCACTCATTGGACTAGTCGATGATTCTAAATGATATTTTGAATCGTTATTCAAATTTTGATAACGTTGTTGTTGTTGTTGTTGTTGTTGCTGTTGTTGCTGCTGCTGCTGCTGCTGTTGTTGTTGTTGATGATGATGATGATGGTGATAATGGTGGTGATGTTGAAGAAGATTTTCATCGTGATAACATAAATGCCTATCGTCTATGCGTTGGCGTAGATCGTTGAGATGCACAGTCTGAACTCTTCTTTTCAACTTCCGATGACAAAAAAGACAAATGATCAATGCTATTAATACAGCACCGATGGTATAACCCACAGGAACAGCGTAATTATTTTTCTGTACAACTGTATTACCTGAAATATAATAATTTTCTTGTCAAATTTTTTTCAATCAACCGCATTCTTTTTTTTTAGCATCTCTTTTTCTAATTTGTAAGTCCCTTAAGATAAGTAAGTTTGATCGACATCGAGTCCTTTATTAAAATTTTATTTTATTTTTTTTATTACTTTTTTCATTGAATTAAATCAATTTTATATTTTTATTACACTTTTAAACAGAGACTACAAGTAAAATAACTGCGAAAAGAAAATAAACGCGACAGAAAGTGCAGTCAGAAAGACAAGTGTGTATAATTATAAGTAAGGAACCAATTGAAAGTCGTCGGCAACTAAGTTGTTGGACTATTAAATTTAAGATCTGTTATACATTGTCGACAAGTTATTTAGTAGCGACGTGGTCATCTAAAGATGGAAAATTAATGTAATCAATTGTCAATCGTATTGTCTTTAAAAAGAACGAAAACATTTTTTTTATACTCTTACTTTTTTATAGTAAAGAATTTATTCTTTTCCTTTTCTTTTTTTTTCTTAACACGTTTATTATCGTAATTTTGAAAAAAAATTTGATCACGCTTTGATAATATAATATAATTTTTCACACAATATAAAAAATGTAATATGTGAATAATGAGTGTAATAAGTGTAATGAGTGAATAAAATTTTATTTATTACTGTATAAAAGTATATTTAGAATTTACTGTTCATGGCTATATATATAAAAAGTCTTCGTGCAAGTTTGATTAGCTGATTTCGATAAATCTAATACATTCATAGAAATAAAACATGTTCATGAGATATCTTGTCAGTGAACAATATAATATCGAATATTATATCTCTTAAAAAGGAATGTATATAGTGTATATAGTGCAGGATAAATGGTAACAAACATGTCAAGAAAATTTCATATTTAATATAATATAATCTCTTTCCATATCTATTCTACATATAGGTACAAGATTCTTTAAGATAACAATTTTTGATTGCCGAATTTATTGATAATCGATAATTTCAATTGTTGAGTTTGATCTCTTGAATTTTGATCTCTTATCGATTCGTTCGTCACGTGATATCGACAATACATATCAGATCTAATAGGAAAGGAAACAGTGTGATTGTGAATATTTTGTAAGGAAGAAAATACACGTGTGCGAGCTCTCGCAAGAGAAAGGGAGAAGAGAGAGTTCGCGAATTCACATGCTATTGTAGTATATGAATAAATTCGCATTCACTGTATCATGCATTTTTTGATAAACTTTGTGTGAAAAACAAGGAACAGTTTTAAAACAAAATAAAAAAATTGTGATTTCTTTGAAATCTGTGTAATTGAGAAAATAAAAATAAATAATTACTTACGAAATGTTTATCGTGACACTTGTAAAATTGTATGCATAATTAATAATCAAATTCAAGAATTTTTATGAAATGTATAATATTATTATAAATTATAATTATAATAAAAAAAGACGTAAGGTAGTGCGAGTGATTTTACATTTTGAAATTATATATATATATATATATATATATATATACATACATATATATATATATAAATGATTGTGCATCATTGATTTGTTTCATTTATAATCGTACACACACGATATAGATTACCTAATCTGGATCATAAACAGGTTATAATTTGTTTTTGTATAAAAATTAAGAGCAATGTGCAATATTGTGAGTGAACTCACGTGATAGGGGAGATCATAACATGCCGGATCGTCGGAAGCTTCATGAAGGGCTCAGATGGCCACGAACACAAAGCACAGAGAGAGAAGAAGCATGGCAGAGACTCCAGCCAGTGCTGGTGACAATGGGGCTGATGCTGCACCTGCGACACCACACACAGTCATTCACCCACGCAATCTCTCCATTCTTTCACCTATACACACAGCTACCTACTACTCACCTAAAATATTACACAAATTTACATAATTTATAATACATACTCGTCATTTTTCGTCGAGTTTTTTTTTTTAATTTAATATTTCTTTTCGATTTTGTTACTTTTTTTTTTTTCTTTCTTTCTAACGTGAAACATCGTTGCCCAAAACCCCATTGCTATACGTATCATATTACAATCATCTTGAAGGCGTGTATTGTATACGCGTGTGCAAGATAAATATCGACACTTTCTTTTTATTATTATTATTCGAAAACAATTAACAATTTAAAACTTGTCATGATTTACACGATATCTTGGAGCAAAAAAAAAAAAACTGAAAAATACATGCCTCGTGCAGAATTTACTAATCTTTATATTGCACATCTTAAAATATGTTGCGATGCATTACATTACACATACATTAACTCTTCCTATGCTAATATTATGTAATTTATTATTTAACGAAAATTGGTATGGTACATTTATTATTTAAATAATTAGTATATTGTATTAGTATAATTAATAATTAGTATACTGATCTATAAGCAAATTATCGATTTAAAAAATATGATGCGCAAAAAATCTATACAAACTCGATATGCATATTGCAACATAATTCAACATGTGGAAGTTGCTTTTTATTCGATTAATGATGCCAGATTTTACAATATATATATATTATATATATATATATTGTTTCAATTCACGCAATCGATAATCAATTCGTAACGTACACCATAACAGATTAGATTTTAATTAATATCACGTGATTGTATATGTGTACATTTATAGTAGACGCGTGCATACATACACACTCGCGTATATGCATGCATAACATATACGTGAGAAGGATTAATTAAGGATAGTAGTACTATATTCGGTAAAAAGAGAACACGCTTGAAGAATTTGTAGAGTAATAGAATAATCAAGTATCTATT